GTCTATATATATATGTGTATATATATATATATGTGTATATATATGTATATATATATGTATGTTTATATATATATATGCATATATGTATATAAACAAATAGATAAATAATAATAACAGTGCTCGAATAGGAAACTGTTGCAATAATCGTATCAAGCACAGCTCATCACCGACAACTTCCTTTATTACAGTTGTATGAAAAAAGTGTCTATGGCGGGACGAACCTACAACCTTTCACTATCAAGGCGAGTAACATACCCAGACCATTATACCACAGAGAACTGTAGGATATAGACGAAGATTTAACTCTCATGCACTTTCTCTCATACAACTGAATGAAACACATATAGTGGAGCAGCTGTGTAAAGCTATCGTATTTGATGTGTGTGTGGTTTTTTTTTAATACAAGCGAAGACTCAAAACATTTCCAGTGATCATAAAAATACGTTGCGGCATAAATATCGAATACATAAATAAACATAATACACTAAAGATGAACGTCAACGTTTTGGACATTTGATAAAAGTTAATAATTTTGAATAAATAAATCATGAATAAAAAGAGATAGGTTTAAAATATAATAGTACTGTATACACTTGCGATCGCCCTCTATTGAAAACGTCAATCTTGTCATGACGCATAGTATTTTAGAAAAGTTAGTAGTAGTTGCTAAATACAACGGTTAAGCCGAGGGGGCGTGGCTCGGGTTATAATTAGCGTGGTTGATGGCGCTATTTAGCCTAATTCCCCATTTCGGCTGTCGAACTGTGCTGGTAGTTCAGGCTACAGGCACATTGTGCGATTGTCATGGAGATGTACCAGCTGATATTTACAGCGCTCTTGTTCTCGGCTTCATTGGCGTGTGTAAAGCGTGAGTATGTTTTTTACAAGTGTAACATTTGTCATGTTAAAGGCACTTTGCTTAATATTGTCTTTCATTTAAAGATTAAAAAACATTAGGGGCGGATCCGGAGATGTCCGAAAAGGGGTGGTGGGGGAAGGGGGAAGACGATATCACCAAATGAATGACCGATCTTCCAAACGCCCGGTAATAACCTATGAGGCGTTTTGGACTATCATTAATTTTGAAGCGCAGAAGGGTTCGTTAAGGTCGAAGTTTCTATAATTTTGTATGTTGCGTATCACCTGGTATCACAATGATCCATCAATCAAAATTACCTAAGTGGGTGTCATCTGCTGACTGAGGTCATGTTCCTATTTAACGAATTATTGTAGTTGATATGTTAACAATAAGCTGTAAGAGTGGTAAGAGATACTGTAGTCGATAGACCTACATGTCCATTCAAATCTGTTTAGAGTAGGGCTGAATATAAAATATTTACTTTAAAACTAGAGATATCATCAACGACAGAGTGCACCGACCAGGAAGATGAACGCTTTCAGTTGATCCATTTGACATAACACTTGGCGTAGAACAGGTTCTATTATCTCACTCAGTTTCTCCCCCTTAAATAACATAACAGTGGTGGCACTACGGGGGGGGGGGGCTAGGGGATGGAGCCCCCGTCGGGGAGAACCACAATTCGTCGGGGAAAAGAAAAAAATTCTAAAAATTATGTATTTTGTACATATTAATATACTCTAAAATCGATTAAGCCTTTGAAACCCCTAAATTGTCATATTTTCGGGGGCTACGTCACCTGGATCACTTTCGAAAGGTTTTTAGCAACGCCCGACCACTCCCACTTTTTTATCGTCGGGGACATCAGCGCCCCCTCTGTCGGGGACCTTCAACCGCCCCCACCCCAGTCGGGTATTTACTTTAATAGATTTTTAAAGTTTTTATTGTGACTTTGTTAATATTTGTATCAGTTAAGTATAATTATGAAAAACAGATTTGATCTTCTTTTTATATACTATACACATTATAAAATATATTTATGGAATTATCTTCTTTGTTAAGATTGTTATATAATCTTAGTAATCTAATAATTATTCCATTTTTAGTAAAAATGAGGATTAGCTAGCAGCACAAGCAAGAAGTATTTGAGTACGGTACCTCTTCATAAAAAGTATTTAAAAAAAATACGATGAATCAACCTTATCAGTTACTGTAGTCCCATTGTCAAATCCTGTAAACTCATGTAATCAGTCATAACTTCATTTTCGCGAAACTTTCGTAAATTTGGTCACTAACAATTTTACTTCATATACCGCGGACCGTCTTGCTCCCCTCACCATTCACCAAAACTGACCCCCCCCCCATCTCAGGCAATACAATATCGATATACTTTATATCTCAATTGTACATTACAGAAGTCGTACAAATGTGTGTCCTTGGGTAGACGTGTGTTATAAAAATATATAAAAAAAAATAGTATATTAATTGAAAATGCGAAGTTAAGTAAGTAAAATGCAGCATATTAAAATTTGTTGGTATTGTTGTGTATTGTCAGTTGAGTTTATGTTTAATGTATAGCTCGATCTGCATGAATGTACGTGATGTATAAGGTATTATAATCCAACTATTGTCGATACATTGTTTCATAATTTCTGAAGTATCGCATTTATAGCCAGCTGTTTAGACCACCAGTTAAAAATATGATAGTTGACAGCAGTAATCATTAGTCTTCATTTGGACCGATTCCATATTGATAACGTATGTACCCATTGTGTTTCAATTGCTTGTATTTCATTTAAATTTAGGCTCAGTAGGTGGTAATGCAGTACAGTAGCACTGTACATTCAAGGTTTACGGAGGTTGATTGAAAATCGAATAAGAACTTTAGCGGATTTCCACTCATGTCGCTGCTTTACACGTCATGTTGATTGGTCGTCTACGGGATGTTACCTCGAATATTCCGACACTGCAATTGATTTATGCCAGGCTAATATGATGTAATAATAAGTGCATTTACCTCACACTGATATCAATTATGACGAAATGTTTAGCTCCACGCTCAAAATCTGTCTATTTAGACCAGGCCGAATTCTGTTTCCATTACAGTGTATATTTAACCATTGGTGGAAAACTCGTTAGGCCTATGCCTTCTTTAAACCATAAATCACATCTATATTATAACGAATTATGTTTATTCGAGGTCAGAGACACAAATCAAAAGCTTTAAATAAAAGTTTACTATTAAGCCGGTCATATGTATAAACGAAAGAATGATAAACAAAAAAACTCTAATAATGTATCCTAAGTTTAAATTCACAAGCAATACATTATGTGTATATTTAATAAAAGGAACATAAATTACTTGTAAAAAGATTTTCTTTTTGTTTAGGCCTATCTTACTTAACAATGCTATTGTTAAGAGTGTTCTACAATCTGGTGGAATACATACACATGCTTCGAATTATTTTACAATCTGAATTGATTTACAATTGTAAAACGACACTTTGTTTTACAATTATTTTATTAGAACAGTAAAATTAAATATAATAACAAAAATTAAAATCCACCCCTTGGACTTTGATGTTAAGTCACACAAAACAATAGCGTAAATGTACGTGAACACATAATAATAATAAATAATAATACTAATAAATGATAATAATAATAGTAATAATAATAATAATAATAATAATAATAAATAATAATAAATAATAAATAATTCTGGATTTATATAGCGCCTCTATTTGCGTCCTCATTTTATTAAAGCCAGGCATTACCTTCTGATTAAATATTTTCCTTGCCTACATTATAAACCGATGCATACGACTCTATAATTGAAAAGTAGACCTACAGTGTAATGAATTTAAGAATTTTCGTAGTACTGTAATCTATATATCAGTAAAACGTCATTCTTTTGATCTGTATATCTCAGCGGAAGTGGATACTTTATTTAATTATTTTATTAAGTGAGCTAAACCTATTAAAGGTTTTAATTAAATTTGTGGAGATTTGTATTATTGTACCACAACAGATCTTCAATTCCTAGTGCCTATATTCAGCAACGTGTACATTGAAGAGAAGTTTACATTAGACTTTGGACTAGATTCCATGTCCAAATATTGATTTCGTGACATGTTTACCGATTCAGTTAACCTGTGCCTGTATGTGAGACATAAATGATGAACATGAAGAAACAGTACTAAATAAGAATGCTGAGTTCATAATAAACATTCAATGTAGCCGGATTTAGTAGGCCTATCAATTGGAAAATTATTCATTCATCAAACAAAAAGGCAGACAACAGTTATCAGATGACTCTTACCATAGAGAAAATAGTTCTATTTTCTCTACGCTCTTACATTGTTAGGGGCGAACTTCCTTCAAACAATGACAGTTCGACACTCTTGTTTGGCCCTAGCAGTTTCTATTGGCGACGCTGATTGGTCACTTGAATCAGGGAGCGTTACCGATTACGTCGGGTGGCACGGACAGCACGCAGTGCAAGGATTGCAGTGAAAACGCTGCAGCGATTTTTATGGAAACCAGGCCTAGGTAAACTCCTGCAAGCATCACGATAGTCGATATTTTCTCACGACTAAATAATATACTCTTCCATATTTATTGCTTTTTGTAGAGGTTAGTCCTAACTATCATTTTTTTTGTCTTTCGTGGGTGTAGCCCACCTTTATTCTCTCTTTTTTCATTGTTTTCATTTTTTCCAATAACTCTTGTTCAAGGTACAATAAACATTATGTTCAGAATTTACATAAAGGTAAAAATAAATAAATAAATAAAAGCTTCACGTGTCTACCATGAAGTACACTATCACATGAAATTTCTATAAACAATTATTATTTTGATACATATTTACTCATTAGTGCTTGATTTAATTGATGATGGTTCCTATCATATACAGTATTATAATGTCAGTGAATACATGTAGGCTATCCTATATAAAGTATTAAAATTCAGAAATATAAAACATTTCATGATCTGTTAATAAAATACATTATAAGGTAAAATAAGGACATGTAATTATGTTTCTTAATAAAACACTCGATAAAATAAACTTCGAATTAATAAGCTTATATTATACATAAACATATACACCCATATATACACATATACATATATATATACACGCATACACACATATACATATTTATATATATATATATATAAATATATATGTATGTATAAACACACATACATAAACACACATAAAAACACACACAAGCACTTGCACACACACATACATACACCCATGCATACACCTACACCAATACACACACACGTATAGATAGTTTACCATATCAGTCTTGTATAGTAGTAGTAGTAGTAGTAGTAGTAGTAGTAGTAGTAGTAGTAATAATAATAATAATAATAATAATAATAATAATAATAATAATTTTAATAATTCTGAGAAGGCATTTTAATAAAGTTCTCAATACTTTACAATCTTACTTACTACAAAAACAACAACATCATCATTAAACCAATAACTGGATAATTTTGTCTTTTACATTCGACCATTTCATACTGGCTTTAGTACTATTACATGCGTACTCATTTTCAATTTGGTTTTTAGCTTCTAAACTGCAAGTTTTCCAAATAATATTTGCATTTAGTTCTCTTTTTTTTTTATCGTTTTTCCTTTGTAATTTTATAAATAGAGAATGTAAGTAGAGACATAAGTTCATTCACAATTTTGTTTTTAGTTCCAACAATAATATCAAACCAGTTAATTGATTCTACACTCGGAAAGTCGCACTTAGTAATAATTGCGTTAAATCTTTTCAACACAGGTAGAATTTTTGTACACTGAACTAACATAGGCCTACTATCAAATTTTCTTTGACAAAAAACTGTTGTTTGCCTATAGTCACGATGTGCCTATATATGGTCATGATGTGATGTCATCATGACCATATTTAGGCATGTCACATGTCAAACGTCTGTCCACATTCTTTAAATATACAAAATATTGTATTTTTAGTAAGATATATCAT